AGCAGTTGCTATAACCTTAAAATGTTCTATCCATCTAAAAACACTTATCTGAGGCAACATTCCTGTAAGCTTGTTGTAAAGCTTCAGTGTGTGGCAATGTCTGCTTGGGGTTTGTTAATTGTAGGCCCTGACCTTGAAATCATTTTTCCAATGGTATCTCACCTCGTTTTTGAAGTCCTCTTAATGAAACTAAGACATTACTGAGAGAACTTGTCTACAGTAATTCACTGCTCTGATGCATGCTTAAACACATTTTGCTTGATATAATCATGCATATAGGAACTAGAACCCTAGTAGCTATGCTCGTTGACAAAAATACCATCATAATAAAACCAAATTCACTGCCATTGAGTCATTTCTAACTCATGGTGACCCTGTTGGACAGAGTAGAGCTTTCCCTGTAGCTTTCCGAGATTGTAACTCTTAGACAGAAATAGAAAACCTTAAAGTGGCCAGTGGTTTTGAACTGTTGACCTCAAGATTAGCAGCTCAGTGTGGAAAGACTATATCACCACAGGTCCTGCCTTCATAATTGTACAGGGTGTTTTGTTTACATGTGATGGAAGCCCTCAAAATTATGACTTTGGCTAAAAGGAAAGTTTATTACAAGGCATATGAGTGTGTATCTGAGTTGCAGGCAGGACTGCCTTGGTCTGAGGGATTTGTTGTCATGACACCATTCTGTTACTCTTAACCCATGGTTATATATTTTGGTTTCTTCAGCAGGATCTCAATTGTTTTTCCTCCACCACCAGTAATTTAACTTAGCTTCAGATCCTACGCATAATTAATAGCAAGAGATTTCCACTTAACCTCAGTTAAATCTCTCCCTGCCCAAAATCAATGTTGAACAATTTATTTTGTTTATAATTTCCCCTAAACCCTTCCAAAGTATCACACATTGCTACAAACTATACTGAATTCAAAGCAAAACTATGGTATAACATTCTTTTTAAAGTATGTTAAATTAGGGAAGTAAAATGGAACAATACCTAAAGCAATCTGTAACAGGTAGCTTTCTCAATATTTTATTTACTGTGATGGCACTGTGGGTTAAGTGTTGGGTTGGTAATTGCAAAAGGTCAGTGGTTTGAATCCTCCAGCTGTGTTTCGGGAGAAAGTTTAGGAAGTCTGATTATGTGAAGATTTATAGCCTTGGAAGCCTTATGAGGCCGTTCTGTTCTATAGGGTTGCTATAAGCCTACCTCACTTGATGGCAGTAGATTTGGCTTGGTTTCATCTTTAGGCGTCTTCAGCTGTAATCACAGTAACCTGTTCAGTCATTTTTGTTTCTGTACTGGTGCATTTGTTATTTCCTCTCTCTAGACTAAGTTCTCTCAGTCTACACAATCTGTACTCAAATCTGTAGAAATAAAGACAGAGACAAGTGAATCCATTACCAAACAATATCATCCAACCTTATGAGGCACTCTTCTATGGTGGCAATGTATTTAACCTATGAGTGACACTTCTTTTTTTTTTTTTAAATCATTTTATTAGGGGCTCATACAACTCTTATCACAATCCATACATACATCGATTGTGTAAAGCGCATTTGTACATTCATTGTC